GAGGCACAAAGACGTGGAGCAAACAGCGTGGTAAAGCAAGTGTAAACCTTTATTCAGAACAAGAGGTTAGACAACACGTCTGTAACAAACAATCGCACAATCCGGTCCGTTCCAGCCTTTCGATCAGCGTTTAACTAACCAAACAATTCCAACATGAGCTACTGCTTCTTTTTGTTATTCGGGCACTTCCTCGCCCAATGCTCAGATGAGCCACACAAGAAACACGCATCCGGTGCATGCCGCTTTCCTCCCGACCTACCCCCTGCGAAATACGGAGGGGGACGGCGCGGAGCCGGGCGATAATCTGGTCGCGGCATAGACGCCGTCGCTTCTTGTGTAGCTGCATAAGACTTAAAAAAGGCAGCACTTTAGTAGCAGCTTGTACTTGAGCCTGGCTACCAAATAATCGAAGCACCAGGGCCCTAAAGTTAGGTAGTCTTGTGTAATGCGAAAGTTCATCTGCATACGCGATGAACTCATCCTTCCTCTGGTGTCCTTCCCTCCTGGCGGTGGCTACAAGAGTTTCTACTAAGCTCATCGCCCAGTCAGCCGAAAACGCTCCCTCTCTCCTGCCACAGTAGGCTGTCAGCTCTCTCAGCACTGAGTCCGTTGACTGCGCCGCCCGGGACGCCTCCAATGACTGGATCCTTCCTAAAAGTGTCTCCAAGGTCAGACCCTAGGGGAAAAGAACGCAAAACAGTGGCATAAGGAGCTGTTCTCTCCCCCATCCAACCATGCCACGTAGCAGGTTCCCTTCTGTTACCGCCCTAAGTGGTGCACCGTTACCCACGATAAAAAAGGCCCCGGGATGTCATTTTTGGCCCAACTTGACCCCGCCAAGGAAGGGGAAACCTTGCCCCTGCCGGACTACTTACCTAGCCGAAAACTCCGCTGTGACGGCCCCTGGCCGCTCTCAGGAACAACGTGATCACTGTGGGCCCTAGGCCTGCATACTTACCTCGTGTAGCCCGGCTACAATAATAGGATCAGCCCCAGGCCGAACGAAAACAATCATCGTGGCCCCAGGCCTACCTACTTACCACGTGTAGCCCAGCTACGCAGTAGAATCGGCCCCAGGCCGAGCAAATGAACCGGTCCGCATGGCCCCAAGCCTGCCTACTTACCACGTGTAGCCCAGCTACGATGTAGAATCGGCCCCAGGCCGAGCAAAAAACTGGTCCGCGTGGCCCCAGGCCTGCCTACTTACCCCGTGTAATTCCGCTACGATGTAGAAAATCGGCCCCAGGCCGAGCAAAACCGGTCCGCATGGCCTCATGCCTGCCTACTTACCACGTGTAGCCCAGCTACGATGTTGAATCGGCCCCGGGCCGAGCAATGGTTGGACACCGTGGCCCCTGGCCAGTGTACTTGTCCAAGCCCCCCGCCAAAACGGATGAGTCGCTATAACTTTCAAAACACACCCAAAAAAAAACAAAGAAAAAGAGAGAGAGAAAAAAAAAACAGTAGCAAGTGGCACTGCCTCGCCGGAAATCAGGCAAGGAAAAACCTAAAAATACAAAAAAAAAACAAGCACGGGTACCTGACACAGGCTACATAAAAACTAACACCAGACCCCGAAATAACGTGCAACCTGGAAATTGGGTGTCGTACCAAACAGTAAAAAAAAACAAACGAATTCGAAAAACCGGGTAAAAACTCCCCGCCCGAACACGGACGATAGGGAAAAAACAAACATACCCACAAAAAAAAAAAAAAACAAGAAAAACAACAAATGTACCGTCCCGGCACTGGAGGGAAAAAGGTTCAAACAAAACTGCCAAGCCGAAAAAAAAAACAACCCCTGAGCTCGTCCACTCTACAGGAAACATGGCTGTAAACTTTCCAACTTTCCCCACAAAAATAAAACCAGTTACCTGCACACTCTGTGCCGTAGAAACAGACGTAGACGGGGCCGCTGTATGGACCACAGCCTGAGCCTGAGTCACCGGAACCTTCTCTTGTGCCGGCGGAGTTCCTCCTGTGGTAAGATCAACGCTCTGCACCTTGCTGACCGTCTCCTTCCCACCATCCTTGCCAGAAGTTGAGGCTACAACGGAGGAACCTAGCTCAAAGGAAGAAACATAAATTAACCCCCACAATTATAATTCCATCCTGCGACACAGGGTACCGCGTGGGCTAAACAAAGAAATGCAAATTTACAGGCGGCTGACCAAAAATAAGCGTAACAATCCAACACAGGTGAGGGGCAAGAAAACCCAGGAGAAAAACAACGCACGCCACAAAAAAAACCGTGACTAAACAGAACCCTAATCCTGAAAAAGAAACAAAAAAACAAGGAAAACATTACGTCCTCGCTCCTCCGGTAGTCAAGTCTGAACACGCCAACCCGCCAAAATCAAACCGAACACGAGGCGAGCCCCAAACGGGGGAACCACAGAAAGTGACCAAATATTCCCCAAAATCAGCCAAACGAAACCCTTCAAACTCAAAAAACAGTCACCTTTGGCACCCTTGAAGTGTTTTTTCACCGTCGGAGGCACCTTCTCCGTCACTTCTGCGGTCTTCTCCACCAAGCTTCTCGGGTCGGTCTGAGGTAGTACGGGCGTGCTCATACTTATGGTGGACGTCCACGGAGCGCAGAAAATTGACGTCTGTCAGGCAGATGGGTTTGCCGCGAAAGAAGGATTAATTGGAGATGACGCCATAGGTCGTGACCTCTCGCGAGAAGATCTCGCGATAGGTCACAACTGTTATGACGTCAGTGGGAATATTGCAAATATTTTCTGTCAGGTTGCTATTTATTCTGATGTATGTGGTACTTACCAATCTGTCAGCTTTTAACATTGAATGTCTTCTGCCATTAAAGGACAGCACATTAAGTGGATTGTTGACATCACCATTGCATATCAGAATGGCAGACCACTGGACATACAGACCCTTATGTCAGCATGGAGAACACCATATCCTACCACACTGCACTACAGGTACAGAACACATACTTCAGGTTTATTGTGACTTATGTGTTAATTTTCTAATGCTTGCATAGTTTCCCACATGGATTTAGTGCATTATCTACCTGGCTGTTTCAGATATTTCCCTATTTCTGAGGTCCTGCGGGATGAGGAAGGGCTGACAAAGTGGCTGTACAAGCGGTTTGAAGAGAAGGAAGAGCTTCTGTCCCACTTCTACTCCACGGGCCAGTTTCCCCCTGGCACGACTCGACCGGGTACAAAAACTACAGATAAAGCTGTGGAGGTAACATTTAGCCCATGGTGGATGCTGTCTATCCACCTCTTTTACTTGTGTTCCACTGCTCTCCAGTGGTACACTGTCAGTACAATGTTACAGTGGGTTTCATAATTGGGAAGTTGACTTCGGTAGTTTAACCACTGTGGGTCTTGTAAGAAACCTGTGCTGAGCATGATTGAGGCTGGAGGCCCAAACTGTAGTCATGAGATGGTTAAAACATGCAGTCAAAGCCACAGATTTCTGAAGTATACGAGAAGTCAATGTTGTAAACGTACCAGGACAGATAAATTGTGGATATTAATTTTTGCAAGCAACAAATTATTCATTATCTGTTAGTTGCTGAGAGCTGTCTGGTATACTAGTATACATTATAAAAAATTTGGGAAGGTGAGTCCATATCACTGTGCTTTTCAGTTTTGCCACCCTTTTTGTCAGTCTTTGTGCCTTTTGCACCCATTGTTGAATCTGAAAAATGATTCCTTCAGTAATCTTGAAATTGTTGTTTTAAAGCCTTAATGTTTGCTGTGGGGAAGAGAATTTCTTTCTGTTTTAAATGATTGGCCTTGGTTGTTTGGATTTTCTTTGGTCAAACAGCAACTTATTAACTTTTGGGATTACTGTTGTTGTAGACCTTCAACTTCAAGCAGCAGGAATGTACAAATTTTGTACCCTGCCTGTGGTCATGAATCATGAGTATACATTACAAGCTGAGCTGGCAGCCTTTTAGGTTACAAGACAGTTATCACTGACTGGAGTCACAACAAAATGATAAATTAAGGGAGGACCAGGAATGATGTTAGTGGACAGATGAAAATCTTGATGCGAATTTTAGACTTGCAGTCTCAACAATGTTTTTAAACTAAATCATGTGATAATGTAACTGACGTCTGTAGGCAGTCTGTTGCTTGCCTTGGTGCGATTTCTACCCGCATTTCACTTCCCCTCATCCGTCCTGATCCTTTCCTCCAGTGCCAACTTTGACATGTGACAGGTAACTGTAGCATTCAGCAGGATGGCTGACATGAAACTCAGTGGTAATTTGCCATCCATGTGTGTATTTTTATCAGTACAGCAGTGTTAGCAGCCAGTCAGTGTGTGATGCCACGCATTTTGTACCAAACTTGAAGAATTCCTGTCAGGGTTTACCATGTACTGCTTTGCCTCATAACAGATTTTTACAAGGTATATGAAAAAGAATTTGATGTTAAGGCATAAAGTTTTAATGATGACTGTGACTCCCATGATTGCTTTCTTCCAAATTAGCATGATGGAGTTAACAATATATATATATATGTATATATATATATGCTAAGACGTGTTAGTTTTGTAGTACATGTATTGTACTGAAAGATCACACAGCCAGTGAAACTGGTATTGTCTGTTTCAAATTTTGCAGTAGACTTTTGTTTCATGACTCCTATGATTACTTACTTATGTTAGTATGATGGAGTTATATTGATATATAATGTTGCTAGAAGGCACTATATGATCAATGGATTGAACTCAATTCATTAAGCTCACAGTATAATTTATGTAGTAAGGGAAATTGTGTAAGTTATAGTTAATGTATGTGAATGAAAATAGTATACTTTCTAACACTGAAAATACGTCAAAGCAAAAATATACTAACTAAAAATTAGTCCATATTCGTTTATAAAAGCTTTGCACAGTACGCGATATGTAAAGGTTGATCTTATCTCAATGTACTAATATTGTTTTAAGAATGTAATCATGCTTGCCTGTGGGAAATTTGGTTGTGAGCTTCCATGTTTACAACAAGGATTTCTGTTTGTCACATGCTGAGTATTGGAAGACTTTTTTTGCTTCTTCATTAGTAACATACTATTGATAGATTTTTAGCCTGTTTAATGCAGGAATGTTTATTCAGCCTGGGAAAAAGTTGTAAGTTACAACATTTCTTTTCACACAGCTGTTATTTGATTCATAAAAGGTAATACAAAAGCCACAAAGTAGCTGAAGGAGAGAGGTGCCTCCTAAGTTGTACATGTATGCCCCATGAGGATCAGAAGGTAGTTTTGGCCAGTCAAGGTTAAACTTACCCAATATACAATGTACATAACATACGTATGGAAGAGAATGAGACAAGAAAACAAGTACCAGGTACTTTTTTTTTGCTTTTATTGGCTTTTTCTTTTAATGTGAATACAAGTCTTTTCCATGTAGTGTAGCTATGAAGTACACATGATGCAAAAAGCCAGCAACTAGGACAAAGTGTGATTGGTGTGAGGATCTCAAAGCAGAGTAACTGGACCACAGACAAGGGACTGTATTCTCTTTACAAACATTCTTTGCTGAAATCAAGTTATGTCAAGTTCATATATACCAGCAGATTCTACATACAGGCCTGCTCTGGTATTGAAAAAGTACATTTTCAGTAATTTGATGGCCACAAAATATTCAAGCCTAGTGACATCCTTTGTAATGCTCAAAGGTTAGGTTTCCCATAGTGAAACTCAAATTGCTGCGGCAAAATTCAGACTTATATTTTTTCGGAAAAAAAAGAAAAGAACACTAACTGGTAAGTAGAGGCTTTTGATCATGAGGAACTCCCAGTAATGTAATATGTTAAGGGATGCTCCTTGGCTTAACCAGTTAAGAGGCAGTAACATGTACTTGACTGTGCATTATGTGTGTCTATCATCCACCCCCATACAAAAAGTTACCTTCACCACCTAGGAAGATCTGTGGTGACTGAGTAAGAGGTCTGTGCACCACACTGACTATACTACACACCTAACTGGGCAGTAGAATGTCTCTTGCAGAAGGAATGATACATTTCTAGACACGAAATCATAGTTTTAAAGTCATCAATCAATCATAATTAGCTTCAAATCTGATTCTTACATTTGAATTATTATCATTACTACCACAACTTGAAGAAATCAGACTACAAAAATCCATTTACCTATCTTTGTAAAGATCAAAATTATAGGATGTTACACAAATGCGACACATTCCCATATGTCTGTTAAGCATCTCATCTCACAATAGCTCAATTATAAAATATTCATTAGGAATGTTCTTGCTAAGCTCTGTACAAAATCATCCTACCCCTTTGTGACTACATGACGGGATATACTGCAATTTAAAGTGGAGGGGTTTTCTCACTGGGGCTGGGCTTTTGCCCCCCTTCCTTCCTCCTTCAACTGTGCTATGCAGTTTCTGTAGAGTTGGTTCAATGCCTGCAAGGAAAAAACATGATCAAGACTACAGTCTGTTTAAGTTCAGTTTTACAATCCTTGTAACAAGCAAATTTAAGAATTCAAAGCAACAAAGTAAGCTATTAAGTATCAAGACTTACCTTTGCATGCTTGATCTCTAGTTCTGCAAGCTCCACCAAATTCTTGCGGAAAGCTCCAACTCTCCTCTTCTTAAAGTCTTGCAGCTCTGTGTTAGGAAATAATAATAAACATGAGCTATGCTTATTCACTTAAGTTGCCATGAACACACTCAATATTTCATCACTGGCATCCTTAACTTGTGTTTTCCTTGGAAGTGTTTTATACAGGCTGCAATCTTCTTATTGTTTTGACAAAATAACTTCTGTAGGGCAGCATGAATATGACAAATGCTTTGTTTGCTTACTCAAGCGATGGTAAATAAAAGCTGAGTGACCCACCTGATTTTGCCAGTTCAGAAAGGTGTTCATACTTCTCACATGCACGTTGTTGTGCTTGTTCAGCCTGGGATTAGGCAAAAGACATGTCAATTTCCACAAGCCCATTTCACACATTTAACAACTACAACAACATAAAAAGTGAGATTAAACAAACTTTTCATGTATCCTCATGAACTTTTAATATCTTAGCTGCTTATGATCAAATTGAAACAAAATGTAATGTTTTGCTGACTGCGAAGTTGATAACAAGATTAGAAGCCATGCAACCAAATTATAGCTGAACATTCATAAAGGGAAATGGTTAAGACTTTGATGGCAATTGGGAATTGCTAATGCATGTATCAGCAGCAACAGAAGGGAGGGGGGTTCCTGTGAGGAGTGGTTAGAATTTGGCAATGGGCAGGTTGATGGAACAGGCAGCGCATATGGGGGGAAGCCATGCAAGTAGAGAAAGAGGACTTACAACAGCAACCTCCTGTGGAAAGGTTGGAAGGTAAAGGGTAAAGATTGGTACAGTCTTGATCAGCAATAGCAAATATCCACTAAACAGAAATATAATCCAAGTAGTTTTGCAAAGTCCTCTACACTTTCTTGATGGAAAGATTGTTTCTATATATTCCTTGTATCTTACATTTTGACAATAAATACAGAAAAAGCTTTTGGTTATTAATCTCAGGGACCAGAAGGTTGCTTCATTACAACATAAGCAGCCACAAAGTCCAAACTTAGTAAGCACAAGTGCTTTTACAATAATGATGCAAAATATTGGCCTGGCCATTAGTCAAGCACCTGCAAGTGGGGAGCCCTAACATCACAAATTCTGTATCTGTGGCCAAATTACCACATGGTATTGAAGCCTGTGATAAAAATTCTACCCTTTGTACTGCATACATGTAATGTGTGACACCCTAACCATCTCACATTTCAATGATATTGTTGAACAATAAATGTATGTTTAAGAAGATGATACAAAAAACAAACATTATTGAGAACAGCGATACTGTATCAACAAAGTGTTCTCTATGTAGAAATATACATCATGTCATGTGAATGTCAAAGCAAGGGATTATGTTCAAATAGCCTGAAGTGCTTATAAGTATTCAGTTGTAGAAAATTAAGTAAGCTTTTATGAAAAGATATGATGATAATGAAAAGATATACATATACTGATGATATGGTATCATGCATCAAAGCTGTGGATCCCATTACAAGGGGTGAGTGGCACAACCGTGGGTAGGAGGCAAGTTGCAGTAGAACATGCAGTCTTTCTTTGCAATTGTATTAACTTAAGCAAACTTAAGCAACAAGCATTTGTAGTAGAAAAGTGACATACAAATGAGACAGTAAACAATAAATGGACAGATCAATGCTACACAATGTCAAAATTGCTATCTCTATCAAACAGTACAAACTACCCAGGTAATGTAGTTATCATATTTGAACTATTCACTGACCTGTTGCACGTTCCTGTTCTTTGCTCTGGCTTTATCCAAGTCTTTGTTGGCATTCTCATAATCTGCAAGGGCTCTAGTCCGTCGATACAGCAAGTCCTGTTAAAGCATGTAATAAAGTTGTACCTGCTGTTTGGAATTGGCACATTTTCTGTGTTTATCTGATTTCTAATGAAATTGAACATCCTTTACATTTGTGGATAAAGGCCTAAGTAAGGACTTGATTAAAACTTTGCTCAAAACCACAATTGCAGCACACAAGATACCTTTGCAGCAGATGTGTCCCTAAGGTAGTACCGAAGAGTGTCAGACAACTTCAAATCTTCATCAGATGATACTCTGGCTTCCAGTTTCTGGGTAGAGAAGAAAAAACTTAATCTCCTTATGCAGACACAACAGCAAAGAATATCAGCCTTATATAGATGTTCTACATGTAGAAGATACAAACTTATACAATATAAGCTATAGAGATAATCACAAAGGTGTCACAATACCTTTCTTTTTTTAGAATTGACAATATTTTCTTACCCTAGATTTCTCAAAGCACTCAGACACTTTATTGAAGACCCTGTAACAACAAAGAGTGTTACATCTTGAAGAATGGTGATACTTTTACTGTACTGGTAATCTACTTGATTGGTGATTTGATTGGAGCTTTGGCAGAGGTGTTAATGCTACTGTTTCCCTATATTCACTACCTATCACAGCTTAATGTCCCTTAAACATGCACAACATATACCATAGATGTTTCCTGTTGGTGTAAAAAAAAAAAAAGAAAAAAAGAAATTTACACTATCTTGTAAGTTGCAGGCAGGACCTTTAGCTGTGATATGACCTGATGCCAACCTACATGTATACTTCCACCTTAAGTTAGCTATTGAAGGTAGCCCCAGTTAAGACTAGCTACACACCTTGGTTGAGTTACATGCTAAAGAGCCAGAGTACAGTGCAGATGGGGTGCACAACTTACTTGGTTGTCTCTTTACTTGCCCCCCTGACACTGGAAGGTAGGTAACTAATACAGAATACATGAAGCAGGGAAGCTGGAGCTCTCATGACAATCAAGATACAAAGAAAATCACACATTCAAATTTCAGCCAATAACTACCTTATCACACATACCAGTATATGAAACATTTAATGATTACAGATAATTTTGGGCCATGCCTTAAAACTTTCAGTAACAAGACTAATAGCAATCATCTTCAGTGCAATCACTTCACATTCAGATGCAAATCACTGCATTTGTAACATTGGCCAGCTTCGACACCGAAAGTAACATCAATTTTTTTAACATCAAATAGAAATTTTACAGACTACCAAACAAGCTATAGGAATGTTGCATTACTCATCATATAACAGCACAGTCGACACCACTGAAAGGAAAGCATTTTCTCCTCTTAAACAACCAGTTCCTATCCAAAATCCGTAACAACATACCAAAAACAATGGGAAATTTCTGTGTCTATAACCAACACTTTTGAATAGAGTTTGATCATGAAAGTATAAATTGCACTTACTTGTCCAGCTCAGTGTTCTCACATGTTGCCAGGCTGCCCAGACCTGTGGACAGTTTTATGTAGCTGTCTGCCACACCTACAGACAACATTTCAACATCAGATTACAGTTCACACTTGGTAGGGAAACAGCATTGTAGTACACAGTCTGTGAAGCTAATGTTCTGAGCTGTATACACAATCCACAACTATTCCACAGAAAACCGCTTTGATCTTCATTTTCAAAGTTTTGCTTTCTCTTTTATGCATGATTGTACGTTTTTTATTGATTTTAATTTTGAAGTATTTCGTCAAACCCAGCAGTCTTACTTTTGTGCATTTTTGTCATCCTGTCAGCACACTTTGTCGACTGGGCAATCCTGTTGTGATATTCTACCAGGAAGCCTTTCTCCTGCTCAAAGAACTCGTCTGCATCCTGTAATGTGGAGTACAGCAACATCAATGTTCACAGAACACAATGATGGTAGGGACAAATTATCTTATTAGCACCTCAAAGACCAAAAAGACATTCAGTTTGTGATGTGAAATTTTTAACATCATTTGGATGTAAAATAAGAAGCAGCACATAGATTTTCAAGTGGTGAAATGGATGTCTAGACTGTACATTTCCTCAACTCACCTTCTGGTTGGACAGCAGCACTTCATCCACAGACTGTGACATGGACTTGATGAACCAGCCAAGCTTCTCCTTCTTGTTCTTCAGACGCACGCTCAACTATGGTAGCAAAACACAGCATTTAAATAATGAGACTGCTGTTCAGTAGAGATCACTTTGTACCCACCATCCTGTTTAACATGTCATTCCTTAATATAGTATATATTTCTACATGCACATTGATAGTGGCTGACCAAAGAACATCATTGAAAAAAATAATTTTGTACTGTATTTATAATTTCATAATACATACCTTATTATCTAAGATCATATTCCAGTTTAAGCCAAAGGACTGGACATTACAAGTTAATAGTACAAGCAGGGATTTCATCATTATTGTCATCAGTATCACCATAGATTTCCTCTTGTTACTTGGTTATTCTTGGCTGTATGTTATACTGCAGCCTGTGGTATAGGAACCAGTGCTTGGTTCAAAGCAGGTCTGATCTGCTATGACTCACATCCTGGTCATACTCCAGGAAGACTCTGAAGTTGGTGTCCTTCCTGAAGGCAGGGTGAGCCGCCAGACGCTGTAGAAACACCTCATGCATCGCTACAGTCTTCTTGAAGGTGGCCAGGTATTCACTGCACAGAGAGGGGGAGGTGAGATGTTTGCTTCTGTTGCTAAAGCAGCATCAATCATAGTGATCATTGCCTTTTTAAAAACATTTGGTGAAAGTACTGTAAAACAATACACATATAGATAGGACACCAAGCCACTAATTCTAGCGACTAAGTTATCCTTTTCTAGCAAACATCCTCCCTCAGCTTACTACAGACTGTCCCTATTCAATTCTTGAACAGAAGGTACTCAGACTCACGCCTCCAGTTCTTGTTTCATCTTGGTGAACTCCTCCTTGGTCATGGTGCCCTCTCCCTCCCCAAGTTTCTGTAACTTCTCACGGGAGGCATCAAAGTCGGGTCTCGGTGGGGCAGGAGGGATCTGTCAAAGGGAGTGCAAGCTTTTTTTTGTTTTCTTTCCAAGTTGCTAGAAGTATATTTTGAAAGAAATACAGTAACACATTCATCTATGTGTACACTGCACAATTAACACTTTGTTCAGTATGAAAATGGCAAATATGTCAAAAACAAACCGAAAGGAAACAGCAAGGAACTCACGATGTATCCTCCGTACTCTTCATTTTCGACGAACCTGTCATGAAGCCAGATAAACTCTTCATGCTGTCGTACAACCGAGAATTCACTCTCTCTGAAGTCAGGCAGTGTTGTCTAGAAAACGAAGATAAAAAGTCATTCAATAGAACTTTATCCTGTACGTATTAAGTCATATTTTAGCTGTCAGTGAGTGTATGTTTATTAAGCCAACATGTTCATGCTCTGATCCCCTTCTAATGTCTATAGCCCAGTATAGAAGCAAGGTTCTATTTCCTCTGGGCCATTTATCCCTGTCCTCCTGGTATGTGTATCAGTCTGCCCAGGCTCTGCATGGTGACAAATTTCTCAGAACATACTTCTGTCAGCTGCTCTTTACCAAATAAATCTGCCCTTC